AGATAGATAGATATAAGGTTAAAAATATTATCCATTGCGGAAATGAAACTCGCTTACTATATCCCGTTTGTCTCGCAATGGGTGGTCCAAAAGATAATAGAAGAACACGACGTTTCGTGCGCTACTGCGACTTCGTCAGGTGATGCGGCGACGTTGCGCGTGAGGTTTATATATGCGTGCTCCGCTTCTATTTTCTCTTATTCTCTAATCTTTTATAGAATATCTATTTAAGATTTTAATTCGCCTGCCGCCTCAGCCACCTCAACAGCTTACGCACTACAATAGCTTACTTCGCGCGCAGCTTACAAACAACTTACAACGCTTACATAACTTGCAACAGCTTACAATAACTTACAACAGCTTACAACAACTTACAACAGCTTACAACAACTATTACAACGACTTTCAATAGCTTGCACAGCTCTACATACTAACACCAACAGCTACCTTTCCAGCTTCTAGACCCCCTCCGGATCCGATACGACATTGTTGTTGTCCTCGCTGCAGGTTGGTTGAGCTCAGATCCAACTTGTTGTTGCGCTCCTCAAGCTAACAAAATACTATTTCCAAGGCAGAGATGCGATCCCGTCAACCTTGTAATGCGGGAAATAGTCTCGTAACGAGAGTTAACACTCAATAATCTCAGAACATAAACTAGATAGGCAATTAAGGCAGCGGCTGTTGACGTGCGTGGGCGGACACAACCATGCACGCCATCCATAATCCGACAATTTTTATAAATTTATATTCAAGCTATCATAGCTTTACATATGTTGAATATTTTGCAGAACGGTAATATGCGGGTACGGAGACCACATAATACAAAGTATATTATTATATATATATATTAATATATATATATATATATATATAGGCCTATCACATATACACTGATCGTAGGGTACATCTACGATCGAACACATACATCCTATTGTGAATCCATTAGCGACCATCAGCGTCTTTGGAGACCGTGGTCCACACCGCGTATGTAGTAGCGACCACAACCAACGTGCGCTCCGACACCTGAACAGCCAGCAGTCGATGGCTAATCATGAGCAGCAGACATGCGTTCCATAACACGAGAAATTGCCTCGACCTGGTGAATGCGAGGATAAAAATAGACCACGCCCACTTCCGCCGCCTAAGTATGCTTATGACCGTAGGAAAGTGTAACTAACTATCATATGGAGCGAACGATTTGCGTTATATTCTATAAATTCTAGCTAATATAGACACATAGTCTTAGCCTTTAATCTCTGTGAATTTGAGTCTATTGAAGCGCGATTAGTCTAATTAAAATTAGGCAAATAATGCACGCGCGGTCTAGACCGAGCTTGAAACGAAGCGTCACGAATTCTATTTTTATCCTTCCAAAAATGAAAAGTGGCGGGGTCTATGTTTTATCCTCCATACACAGGTCGAGCAATTCCTCTGTTTAGAGCGCATGTAGCCAGCAGACACGCGTCCGTCGACTCTTCGTCCGTAGCGCATCTTGTCTGATATGTGCGTCTACCAATAACAGCGACGACGAATAACACGGTGGATACATGCCGTGCGTGCGTGCGTGCGATGTCGTGCGTGCGAGGGCGAGCGTGAGCTCGTGGCCGAGTGCGATAGGGTGCGTGTGCAGCGTGCGAAGCGTGGCGTGCGTGTCAGCGTGGTGCGAGCGTGCGTGCAGGCGTGCGTCCGCGATGCGAGCGCGCGTGTGCTCTGTGCGTGCAGGCGTGCGTGTGAGCGTGCGGAGCGCGCGTGTGCACGTGCTGCAGCGCGTGCTGAGCGGCTGAGAGCGTTGCGTGCAGAAGCGTGGCGTGCAGCTGTGCGCTGCTAGCTGTTGCGAGGCGCGCGTGCGAGCGTGCGTACAGGCGTGCGTAGTGAGCGTGCGTACCAGGCGTGGCGTGATGAGGGTGCCGTTGGCAGGTGTGCCGTGCAGAGCGTGGCGTGCGAGCGCTGCGTGCGCAGCGCGGCGTGTGCTCGGCGTTCGTGGCAGGCTGCGTGCAGGCGTTGCGTCGCAGAGCGTGCGGTGCGAGCGCGCGTGTGCTCGTGGCGTGCAGGGCGGTGCGTGTGAGCGTGCGTGCAGGCGGTAGCGTTGCAGGCGTGCGATGCGAGCGTGCGTTGCTAGGCGTGCGTGCGAGCGTACGTGTGCAGCGTGTGTGCCACTGCGTGCAGTCGTGCGTGCGAGCGTGCGTGCAGGCGTGCGTGCGAGGGGGCGTTTTTTGCGTAGTGAGCGTGCGTGCAGGCGTGCCGTGTGAGCGTGCTCG